GTGAGGAGCGTACGGTTATGGTATTGAATTTGAATAAAATAAATAATCCAAAAGCTAACTAACGGGTTATATTTTAGTGTCTGAAAGTTTGAAAAGAATCGGTTGACTAGGAAATTTTCTACAGCGTTTTTTTTCGTGATACAATTTGATGTGGGACACCCTTTAAAGCACTGCTCACGTATAAAAGAAGGAAAAACCTCTGAAAAATATAAGATTCTAATATCTCATCTTAGTTTTTCAAAATGCTAAAAGAATGGAAAATCCAATAAAAATATAAGATTTTGATTTCTCATCAATTTTTCAAATCCTAGAACTCACATGTTTTTCAAAGTTCGAAGTGTACATTCTTAAAACACAAGGCCTTAAATGTAAATTTTAATCACAGTATCTCAAATAATTCTCAATATTAAACTTTATAAGAAAAGTATATTAAATAGATAGTAATTTTTATTACACCTGTGTTCAATGAAATAGAAGCGCATACCGATTTCCATACAAAATGGTCAACTTTAACAAGCTGTTGTTCTCTTAAGGTCAATTGAGCTGAAACGTTCGCCACTGAACTACAAATATGTTCAATTTTACGATTACAAAATACCAAATTTTTGGAATCACCTGCCGGAAACTGAGACACTAGGTAAAATTGTTCAAAATAATAGCAGTACTAATAATTTGCATTTCAGCTCAATTTTGAGATTTTGCTTCATGACAAATCAATTTAAGAATACTTTCATCAGCTTTTGGTCTTTCGACCTTTTGTCCTTTCGATTTTTGTCCCTTTCGACCATTTGTCCTTTCGATTTTTTGTCCCTTTCGACCTTTTGTCCCTTTGACCTTTTGTCTTTCAACCTTTTGTCCCTAAACCGGTAAGGTTGTGGAACAAATCTAGATAGAGCTGGAATTAGGACGTAACAGCTTTTGTAAACAAGGCCTTCTCTCCATGATTTCTTCGAATCCAAGGTAAGCCAACGCAAATCAACATAAACATCGGATAAGTGTATATTTCCCCTAGCCGCAGGTTATATTGATTTGCGTAGGGGAGCTTTGACTTTCTGTAAATCATTTAGAGAAGTCATTATTTAGAAAACCTGTTACACCCTAATTCCAGCTCTATCTAGAAATGGTCGAAAGACAAAACATCGAATAGCAAAACCTCAAATGGAAGAAGGTCGAAAGGACAAAAGGTAGAAGGTTAAAAAGGTAGAATGGACTAAAGGCCGAATGGGTTAAAGCTCGAATAGACTAAGGGTCGAATTAACTAAAGGTCCAATGATGATAAGGGAGACAGAAGGTCGAATGGACAAATGGTGGAATGATGCGAAGAGAACAAAAGGTCGAATGCTGAGAAGGGGAACAAACCATCGAATGGACAAAAGGTCGAATGGTTCAATGAGGGACAAAAGGTTGAATGACCCAAAGAGGAACAAAAAGTCGAATATGACCAGTTCCAAGCCAAATGGGATAAAAAATTAAAATTTAAGACTCGACCTTCTCCGATTTGCATGAAACTTTCCATTATTATGTATTATAGGCAATCATTCACATTTTTGCAAAAATTCGGCCATTTTGAATCTTGTAATTTTACGAAAAATGTCTTCTTCTACATTTTTCAATACATTGTAGCATGAAAACGTCATATCTGATCGTAATGACGTCTGAGACAAAGTTGTTTCGAAAAGAAATGTAATTATGTGGAAAATATACACGGTATTTTTTTTTTTATAGTCATTTTGAGTAAAAATTCCAAACAATGTTAAAACTGAAACATACAAAAAAGTATATCTTCAATATTTATAATTTATTTTTTAAATATAGCTCAAAAAAATTATTAACTTTAGTAGTATTGAAAACCATGGACACTTGAAAATTAACAAAAATCGTAGAACATCAATTTTTGGTTACATTTTTAAACTTCTTGTTAACCAGCTCTTTTAAGTGACTTTTGTGCAGATAACGGTTTAGAATGTCACAAATATTGTTTCATGTGTGGAAATTACATAAAATACAGTGTACTAACATAAATTTAAATATATTCAATAGTTTCAAATAGTTTTTGTTCAACAATTTTAACAATTTTCAAGTGTCCAAAATTTTAAAAATTTAAAAAAAATAGTTTTTTTTTAGAAAAATTATTTTTTTGTTATTTAAAAAAAAAGATATAGGGGAAATGGCTCTAATGTTGGCCTAAGATTAGACGATTGCTGAATCTAATATGGGCCCAATTTAGGGGCATTTAGACCGACATTACATCCATTTCCAATACTTTTTGAAATATTTGAGCTTTTAACACGTTTTTCAATTTTTACTCCAAATGACTTTATGCAAAAATCATGTATTTTTTCCAGAATTTGTAATAATGACTGAGATTTTAAAGAAGAAAAAGAATTAGAACACATTTAATAACAACGACTAAATGAAACCAAAGCACGCACAATATTCTTACCTATGGTTGAAAATCGCCCTCTATTTCAACCTTCTTTTCTGATTGGCCAACACTTTCACTTTACATGCGCTCCTAACAGAGTGGTCGATTTCATTTTGAAGATAATTTTACGTATTCTCGGCAAAACGAACATTTGGAATATATCCGAGGACAGGTTTTGATTTTAAATGTGAACAATATAATAATACACACAGATATCGATTCTTACTCATCATTTGACCTTTTGTTGCTCTTTGAATCATTCGAACTTTTGCCCATTCGACCTTATGTTCATTTGACCTTTTGTCCCCCTTCTCATCAGTCGACCTTCAGTTCATTCAATATTTTATCCCTCTTTTCATCATTCGACGTGTTTTCGATTCGAATGTTTATCTCCCTTTTTTATCATTCGACCTTTTGTCCATTCGACCTTTTGTACATTCGACTTTTTCTCCCACTTATCATCATTCGACCATTTCTCCCACTTATCAGCATTTGACCTTTTATTCATTTGACCTTTTGTCCTTTCGATCTTTTGTCATTCGACGTTTTGTCATTCGAATTTTTGTCTGTCTACCTTTTGTCTGTCAACCCAATTTAGTTTGGGTACTTACATTGAAAAATCGGTTGGTTTTTAAATATTCTATCGAGGGAATCTACTGTGCTTTAGCAATACTATTACAATACTACTCTTCATTCATATAACAAGAGCAGTCAACAGAAATTTAACCTGGTGAAAGAAAACAATTGTCCAAGATGGAAATCTTTCACGTTGACCGCCCTGCTTGGGAACATTTGAGAGAGTAAATAGAAGTAATTTTGGCTCCCTTTAAAATTGTCCAATTTTATCTAGAATAAAATAGGTCATCCGACTGCAGTGTCAACCGAAGGAAAAGCCAGCTCTAACCGAACACGCTGCCACTGGCCTGAGCCGTAGCGCACCGTCCGTGTTTTAGACACCAGTTAGAGTCAACCGGCCCCAGTCAGCCAAGCGAATAATAAAAATAGCGAACACGTCGCGTTTCGTGTCCGATTCCGCGAGATTACTTCCAACATCAAGGCGAAAGATCATCATCGTCGTCGTCGTCGTCGTCGTCGTCATCATCATCATCATCATCACCGCCATCACCATCTCTCACATCAGATCGCTGCGTGGCGCGGCGCAAGTGGCGATATTTTTGGAAGGATGAGACACTCTCACTCATCCACTTGGATTTTATGAAGATTTCTCTTCGGCGGGAAAATGATGTTGGAAAACTTTTCCGATGGAGTGACAGATCCAGCTCTGAGCAACCGAGGCGGAGGGTGACTTCAAGGTTGAAGAAAATTGGGGGATATGATAAGTTGGACATCGTTCATCAACCAAGAGGGTTTGATGATAAAGTGGTGTTTTCTGAAAGTTTCCCACGTCGAAGAAGCTGAAGGACGCCTTATGCCTCCCTCCTTAAAGGGAGGATGATGATTCATGGCGTAAAATGTAAACAAAACACACCCACTTTTGGCGGGTCTTCTTTTTTTCTTCCTTGCCATCGAACCGTATTTCAAACCGATATGATGGCCCACACGAGCAAACATTCCCGAGCACATCTGATAAACATAATTTTCCGGCTTGTTTGGCATTCCACGCATCACTTGCCACAACAAGCTGCCTTGGGGCGGGTAATGAGCGAGATATAAGTCCGTGCATGGAGCGTTCAATTCGATATTTTCAATCGATATGCAAAATTTGAAACTGGTCAAATATCACGATCGGTCATCGAACTGATTGTTAGGAACGTGTTGAATCCCAGAAATTCTCCAAATGTTGCGCATGTTGACTTTCCGAAATTTCTTTGAAATTCCATTGTGAAATCTCTTCAAGCATTCTTTGAGAATTAAACAATTTTGAAGCTATCTTGATCCTTAACGGCGGAATAAGTTTACGTCCGAAATCTGTCAGTACCAAGCACGTGCCTCCCGGGGTGAGACGGAATCGTAAAATATTTTCATTCATTATGACTGTCTGATCACTCTGCTGTGGCGGCGGCGGTGGCGACCAACGGTGGTAGCCCAGCGCAGCACAACGGAAGTGGTTCCCAACATCTTGCAGCAGATGTCTCGCATTTTTCTCCACTCTGGGCATCATTCATGGGGCTGAGAAAACTAATTATATAGAAATATTATGTTCGGAGAGCGAAAAAATATTTAAAATCGTAAATTTCGATTTGACGTCGCCGTTTTCTGGGAAGATCTAAAGCGTGAGCAAACTAGTTTACTATAGTTAGGACTAGCCGAACACCAGATGTGCTTCTCTGAAATTGCAGCACTCTCGTAGGTATGACCAGTATTGATAATTTAATGGGCGCGGAATGTGCATTTTATGGCACTAAACCTTTGACTTGGTCGGATAATTTTTATGGCTTTTCGATAAATATTGGCACTAATGAGGGAAGGCATCATCCCATGTCGATGCCCGATGGATGGTAGCCGTGACCGTAAATTCGTTGCATCCGAAGGCGAGCATGCGGTTAATTGAGTCGTAAAATTTTGTTCATTTATGCAGTGGAAATTCCCACGACGAATTAATCCAAACACTTAC